TATATATATGTATGTATATACAAATCCAAAATCCAAAATATAAGCCAGCTTTCAGCAAATAAGAACAAAAAGCTACACTATTCTATAGTGCTGTTTTGAAACAGCAGTTTACCACAGTCTTGACCATCAGAATTAGCACTTGTTACATGGTATGAAAAGAAACTATGAGTTAATAATTCAAGGTCAACCCTTGTATCTACTTCTTGGGACGTCTGTTATGTTGCGTTGCTCTCATTTACTCCTGTGACCTTGCGTTTAGGACATCCCTGCATAAATTTGTATTTCTTTGGAATTTCATGGAGGTGCAGTTTGTAAATTACAGTTGTCAAAGGTTAGGAATTATTCAACTGAAATGACATTCGTTTTAATCTGGCTTTGTTGTGTATTATTCACTGCGTTGGGTTTTGCGTCACAGACGAGGTCAACTGAACTTGAAGGCTTGCAAAATATACAAAATAACTCAAACCACTTACCACATTCAGAGACCTGTGATCTAAAGTCAACGACGACGCCATGTTTGGAACAGAGGTAAGTGTAGTGAGCCAGGGCTGTGCAAAGGCAACTGCTCCCACAGCGACAGGACTGGTAGCGACATTGCTGCTGATAAATGTTTGGACTGATGTAGCCATGGCATGGAGCAAATACACTCCCCATAAGTGTGTCACACTGGGATGCATAGTACACTAGAAAATACAGCAGAACACACAGAAGATCAGAGTCATTATATATATATATATATGTTTTCATGTACAGTATTTTCTGGACTATAAGTCGCACTTTTTTTTTTTCATACTTTGGCTTTGGATTTGCGACTTATACTCAGGTGCGACTTATATATTAAAATATATAATTTCACGTTTGGTACTTGCACACTACTAGAGGGCACTCTAGGCTTTAGATATTTCCAAAAAGGTAAATGATTAAATAATTACCATTATTTTGGTTCATCTCACAGGGATCAATAACAGGCAGGTTAACCGGAGCTGCACAAGCGGATGACACTTTCCAAGCATTGGCATGGAGCTGAGGAGTGCCCTCAATCATACCTGCTGGGGAACTGCACGTATAGACGCACACAACCATGAACACGGACAAACATGCACACAGACAAACAGGCATACATATGCAGACAACACAATCTTAAGGCTAAGGCTCAGATGTCTACGACGTAGACTTGCGTAAGAAAGATGTGATTTTTCGT